GAAGGAAGGAAGGAAGGAAGGAAGGAAGGAAGGAAGGAAGGAAGGAAGGAAGGAGATTTGATACATGCAAATGTGCTATTCAGTTACCAAAAGATTTGTGTCAAGAACAGAAGCGCAATCAGAAAATAAATTAACAAAATCAAATTACAATTAGATGACCTTGACCTAGAATAATAAGATTTAAAAAATGGATAAACTTATTGTACCTTCAACAGTGAGACAGAAAAAAGAACTTCAGCAGCAGAGGCTTGCAATAAAAGCTTCCCTTGCTGGAGTTCCCTCTTTTGTGCAACAATTTAAGCTGAAGGAATCCTTTTCCATTTGGTATCTAGCCATTCTGACTTGATCCCAGGTAAAGGGTTAACTGCAGCTAATCTGGAATTAGTATAAAGTCACAACATTCACTGCAGAAATGTCTAAGGTGACATCAACATCATCCTTTGCATTTTTTCTAAGAGGTTTCCCTGCATTCTATAAGATTAAGAGAGCCAGTTTGGTGTAGTGGTTAAGGTGCTGGCCTAGAAACCAGGAGACTGAATCCTAGGCCTCCCTTAGGCATAAAACTGGCTGGGTGAGTCACTTTGGGCCAGTCATTCTCACGGTCCAACTCACCTCACAGGGTTACTGTTGTGGGGAAAATAGGAGGCAAGAGGTACGTTTGCCGCCTTTAGTTGAGCAAATTAAAAACAAAGGTGGAATAAGATGAAGATGATGATGATGATTTCAATGTGCTCCTTCATAAGTGAGCAGAGAACTGTAATGTCTGAAAGTTACCTTGAAAGTCTGTTCAGTTTAATCCAAGTGCATAATAAAAACCTTTTCAAATTCATAATTAGGAAACTTACTGCTGCTAAAACACAGGTAATCCATTTGCAACACAATTATTCAAGCTACTTTTAGGAATTTTGCTTGTGTAATTAAAATATTATTAGCAGACTTACATTCTGGAGTCGGTTTCACATCTTTTAGCTGTCGCTGAAGTCCTTTAACAGTACTATGGATTCTGGTCAGTTTTTCCTGGATTTTTGTCTCTATGAAAAAAAGAAACAACCCACACAGCATCTTATTAGTATTTTTTCCACTAGAAAATCATGTTGTTTTAATATTCAAATAATTTAATATTCAATTAATTCAATATCCAATTCAAGGCATTGGTTATTACCTTTAAAGCCCTTCATGGCACAGGACCAGATTATCTGAGGGGTGCTCTCGCCTGTTACATCAACCCACCCCACTCAGTCCAGCAGAAGGGACATGTTGCAGACCCCATCAGTCAAGGAATTTCATCTGGTGAGGTTTAGGAAGAGGGCCTTTTCTGCTGTAGCCCCCACCTTGTGGAACAACTTACCACCTGAGGTGCAGTCCACCCCCACTCTCATGGCCTTCCGGAAAAGTGTGAAATCTTGGCTACGCCAGATGACCTGGGGGCCTGATGGGGGCTCAAATTGTTGGAATTGGCTGGTGGGGTAATTGATTCTGCCCCCCGTCATCTTGAATTGTATATAGTCTTTTTATGTAGTACTTTTTATAGCTAATTTAATATGGATATTTATATTTTTACTGTTTTTACTGTTTGATTTTAACTGTGAGCCACCCAAAGTCGCCCTCTGGGGGAGATGGGTGGCATATAAATTTAATAAATAAATAAATAAATAAATAAATAA